CCTTGACTGTGTGTGTGTGTGTGTGTTTTCATATTTGACATGGTAGGAAAATTCATTGATATGTTTTTTGACAAACTTTTATTTGTAACTTGGCTGTTTATGCTTTGAGGCCCAGTGGGTTTGCAACTTCAATCGTGTCTAACTTGGGACAACTTTTTTGTGTTGATCAATCAAGATAAGCAACCACATTTTGAATTCTCTCAGTTTCAGCAGCTGCCTACTATTCTAGTGACACTCAGTACTATTTCTATTTTCTACTACATAAAAATTATTATTATTATTATTATTACAAATGGTGGACATGATTTTTATTGGATTTGGGGGTAATTATTGTTCGGGCTTCTCAGGTCTTCGTCGTTGTGGAAAGAGTTGCCGACTCAGATGGCTTAATTACTTAAGACCAGATATTAAGCATGGCGTTTTTACATCCGATGAAGAAAATGTTATTTGCGATTTATACAACAAAGTAGGACGCAGGTAATATTTTTTAACATTTCCTAGCTAGTATAAAGCTAATTAATTTGCTACACGTTACATCGAATTATCATTAAAATCGGTCAATTCTAAAAAATTAAAGATAAATCGAGCTGCGTCTTGTACCTTGTTTTCTGACCTCTAAATGTTCTTAGGGGGAAATTTGGTATTTTGAATTTCTTGTGGTCTTATTTTGTTATTTAAATGAAAGATGGTCCGTGATAGCCTCACAGCTAGAGGGGAGAACAGACAATGATGTTAAAAACTACTGGAACAGCAAGCTGAAAAAGAAGGTCATGGCCACTAACTGTAATCCCCAAAATGCCCCTGCGGCCTCCAGCCCGGCTGTGGTTTTAGATCAAACCACTTGTTGTTTCGCAAATCAACCAAGTTTTGCAGAGACAATTCCAGTCAATGAAAATTATGACTTCCCAAGACCCATTGTTGAAGATGAATTAAGGCCATTTGCTTTTGGAATGGATGATCAAAATTATGGGGTTACTGGAATTTCAACTGAAGATGAAGAAAATTCATGTGGGGTTATGAGTGGCATTTGGTCTCAAGATGATGATGATGTTATTGGTAGTAATCCAGATTTGTTCACCAATTTCCAATGTTAATTCCAAGTCACAAAGGAGCCAGTCAAAGTCAACCAAGACAAAAATATCTTAACATGTGTTGTTTGGTTATCAATTATGATGTCATGGGCATATGTATGGACAGATTGATGTAATGTAAGCAAAAGGAAATTTGTCATTTCAACTTCTATTCATCAGTGATGGACAGGTTCATCTCAGTAAATTTGCTTTTTTTTTTTTTTATGAAATATCAGTTAGAACATACAGATGCACTTTAGTACTGAGATAATAGAGTTTAAAGTTAAAACAACACGTTAAGTAAATATATTAACGCAAAATAGGAAATTCAATGTCTGCACAAATAGTCATTTTCGATGGGGTCCCCAAGAATGCACAGGTAGCATCAAGTATGTTGAAAATGATGCATTCCAGACCCAATTCAAACCAAAATATGAAAATATTCATGCTCAAAAGTTCAATATAAATTATTTTACTGTCATCTATACAACGTTTGTTTTCCAGAAAATGCACATCAATGAATTTCGGTTGAAAAAGAGGGCACCAGTTGATAAGCTGTCGTCTTCCATCATACAGCAGATTCAATGTTTTACAAATTCTTCAGATTCTGGATTATATAAATCTGCAAGAAGGCCATCAATCAAAGTAAACTGTTAGCAAATTACACAAGAATGCTCCACCGACAATGTGAATACACTTAGATTTTGCGACAAAACCCGACATGAAAAAACAACCCATTAACATTAAACATTATAGAACCACAATTATATCCTAAAATTTATGGTGGCGTCAGCCATGCATCACATCAAGCCAGCATAACAATAATCGATCATTGAAAATGCTTACATGTATGCTGATAAAGTAGATTCTTGCTTTACCCGAACACAAATAATACCAGGGCTCTTGAGCAAATCAGAACTTACTCCCAGTTAAATTGATTCGCATTTTCCTTTTCCCCATTATGCGAAAAGTCAAATTACACACCCAATTGACAGATGGATAACGATTTACCCTTCCTTCCAGTACTTAGGTGACATGCCATAACTGAATTCTCACTTCTGCCACTAATATTTTTCAATTGATAAACCACCATAAATGACTGCTCTAATACAAATAACAATGTTATCCTTCATTCCATATGGGAAGACAAGAAATTCCACGCATTAACTTGTAAACCTACATTCCCCATAGAACACCCAAGCAACAAGTTTGGGTGTCCTTTAAAGAAGAAGCACAAAGCTAGTCACTATATACTTGGTGAAGAAGCACAAACATAACTAAATGATTCTCCAGAATCCACGTCCACTGAAATATTGGCAGCACTAAGACCTAATAATAATAATATCAGAAGTAAAATCTTTCTCGTTTTGAATCTTGTAGAGTAAGTTATGCTCCATCAAAGAGCCACAAAACAACACCAGCACCAAGTTCCACATGATTTTAAAACAACAAAATAAAACAGATAACTAACAGAATAGATTAAGCCATCTTTGATTGAATGGACCAGCTAGCAGATTCAGCTATATTTGATAAAATGAATGAGAAATTTAGCATCATTTATTATTCTGGGGAAATGGTTGAATTTTCCAGCGGGTCAGATGAAATTACCTCCTTAAAGGGCCATCTCCCTCTGCAACTCCGCAAGCTCATCATCCTCGTCCTCAACCTTCTTTAAACTCTGCCTTCCTGCAGGCACCCGAACAGGGGCAGCAGGAGCTGTTGTTGCAGGTTGCAAAAGCTGTTCTTCCAGCTCAGCTCCTTCTAGTTCTTCAAGCTCCGCCTCCAATTCATCCTGCAGAAGGAAAAAAGAATGAGAAAGATTCTCCTAAAAAAATAAATCAAGAAAGAACAAAAGGCAAATGTGAACTATATAACATGCCTCGTCGAAATCAGCTGAAGCACCAATGGGTGCAGACAGTGCTTCTTGAATCTGTTTCATGTTCTCAGTCTGTTCGTTGATTTCGTCCATTGTCTTGTCCACATCATCAATATTACTAAATCAGGAAAAGCCAATATAAGATTTAGGTAGTTGCATCTCAAGATAACATCGACATTAAATAGCCACAAATATAAATCTATCAGTAATATGTTTCCGTTGATATTTATGTGACAGGCCAGATTCTTTTAATTAAAATATGATAAAAGAAATATTGCAAAATACATTTATGATAATAGATGGATAGATGGATGCAGCCTCCAGATTCCAAACATTTACATTACTTAGATAAACAATACAATGTGAAAGATTTCAAGTTGTCTTATTCAACATCCATTCCTCCCCTATCGAACACTATAATAATCTTTCGTTCTTTTGTTGGTTCATTTTCTTTCTATTTCAATACATTGTGTTGCATCTCTGTTATGTCTTATTCGTTGAGTGAGGTGGAAACTGTACTACATTCAAATATTTTAGTGTTATCAACATAACTTACGTTGCCTTCTGCATAGCTTTCATTGCAGCTGCTCCAGTTCTCAAAGCATCAACAGTTTCTGTTGTGGCTTTTGCCCCTTCAAGCATTATCATCTGCAAACAAGGAGCATGCACAGCTTAAAATGACAGAACATGGACAGTTCAATAGAATAATCACATTACAGAAACTTATCGAGAGCACCTGGTCGTGAATGCGCAACTGAAAATTCCCAAGCTGTTCAATTTGTTGTTCATAAAGCCTTTTCCTCTTTAAACATTGTATTGCAGCTAAAAACAAATTTGCATAAACAAGATCTTTACAATGGTAACTCAATTAAATTACACCAAAAATAACAAGTACAAACCGAACAAAACCATTGCATATTGCTGGTCTGAACAAAACTACAGAATACTCCATCACAAAGTTCATAGACTTCAAAGGAAAATATGGTAACCATATGGTAAAAGCCAAAGATATTTTAAAGACCTCAGCAAAAGAAGAGGGAATACCATATGAATTAATTAACAAACTCAGATCCAGTCCGAATTTTCTTTGCACGCACAATATAACGAGGGCAAATCAGCTAGATAACAGGACACAATTCTTCAATTCAAGTAGAGATAAAACAAGCACCAGGTAGAATAATTTCCGACAACATATCATGCCTTGAGACTACCTCTTTTATTTTTAGCTCTAGTGAACTCCTTGGCCCTTTCAACTTCTGAAGCAGCCTTCTTTAAGAGAACCTTCTCTTTTTTCTCAAGCATCTCCAGAGTCTGAGTACAACAACCAAACAAGCATTCAGTCAATTAAACAAAATTTCTAGGACTCTATCAAGATGAAAAAGCAACTAAAAAATTACACCATAACTAACTGACTGACAAACAACAGAAATAAGAAAATATAAATACATGGTAGATCAGTGATCAAGTTCCAAGAAATACCCAAAATCGAAAATAAGAGAAAAGTCTCATATCATAAAATTCTGCCCCAAATTATAGCTGTGCTGCCATCATCTACAGTTTCTTCTTAACTTCCATTTACCGTGTAACAATTTTTAGTATGAAAACTTCATGATATAAATCAAATTATGGCATAAAAAAAAACGAAGATGATTAAGAAAAGGAAAAAACGCAAAATAAAGCATAGATAAGAATTCGTACCTCGTTCAACTTGTCCAGCGTTGCAAGAGCATTAGTCTCTTGCTTTGGCTTTCCGAAAATCCGCGTAAACATTGTCGGTGATATATTGTCCGAACAAGTAAAAGGAAAACAAAATGGAAAGCCCTAAACCCAGAAACAATATAAAATTCCGTTCGTCAATTTGCTGGAATACAAACAACTGGTATTTCTCAAAATTCGAACAGATCAACAAATAAGTATCATATATTCAGCCAAAACATGACTAAATCTCATTAATTGAGCAACACCACTGACCTGCAGATTCAGAGCGATGAGGAAATCGAACACTTTGGGAAAATTCTTTAGGGATTTATGTATGAAAACGTATAAGAAGTCGCCGATCGACCCCTTTTCGTTCGTAACTTCGTATAGATTTTAGATTGCGTGTGTTTGGGGTTGGGGGGAGGGGAAGAGGTGACAGATATCACGTGACTGGTTGTTCATCTAGGAATGTGACGGACCAACTGGATTCGGAGTTGGATGACATTTGTACTTTCGTCTTGTTATTTTCAATTTAGTCCTTGAACTATTGAAACCTTGCAATGATCCACTTGGATGATGGATCAAGTGTCAAGGTGGAGCACACATTTTGACAAACTAAACTCGACCAATATATACCATCCAGACAGAGAAAAAAAAAAAACTCGACCAATATATATCTATATCTATATACGTATAAAAAAAGTTTGATTATTTTTCAAATAGTAACTATTTTTCTTTAAAAAAAATTTATTTACAATTTTATGAAATTAATTTAATAATTTAAAGAATATTTCAAATAATCAATTATGAAAGTTGCGGCTCATTATTTAAGGAAATAATTAAATCATATATATATTTATTTTTAAGATACCTTAATTACTCAAATAAATTTAATGGTATATTCCAAATATTCACTTATGGTAAATGAAAGAAGCTTTACTTCCCAAAGGAGCAGATAAGATATCCGAGTGTCTGAAGTAGCGCGCTTTTAGAACTCTGACCACCAGGGAGTCTGGATTTTTAATGAGACGCCAAACCTGCTTAGCTAGAAGAGCTTTGTTAAAAGCCGATAGATTTCGAAATCCAATACCTCCCTGACATTTTGGCCTGCTTAGAAGTTCTCATCGACACCAATGCATATTCTTTGATCCTCCATCTATGCCCCACCAGAAATTTGCGTAATCGCGTTCAATTTCTTCACACAGGGGCGACGGAATACGGAAGCAGGACATAGCATATGTTGGAACAGCCTGGACAACCGATTTAAGAAGAACTTCTCTACCTCCCTCCGAAAAATTTTTGTGGCTCCAGCTTTGAATTCTATCAGCAACTTTCTCTTTAAGATAACTGAATTGAGCACGTTTGATTTTAGCTGAGAACGTGGGGAGGCCCAGATAGACTTCATGTAACGCCCCGTTTTTTTTAAAGGATTTACCGAATTTATTTATAAAAATCAGAGTTAATTATTCGCAAATCTTAATTTAAATTTGAAATCTCAACGGGCGCTACTTATCTACTAAGAACAATTTAACAAAAATACAAACACATCAGATTAAACTTATACATGCATGACTAACAGTTATAAAATTTAACTAGCATTCATTAAGTTCCAAAACAATAAAGTCAAAACATAATTCCAAGGTTCAATCCGACATAATCAATTTATCCCAAAAACAAAGCAGGAAAGAAATCCAAGTCAAAGCAACAGTTTGACAATATCATAGATAAGCGGAAGCATAATATAACCAGAACATATTCAATCGATGACCACCACCCGTTTGCCTTTACGCCACCATCACAGCTCAGCTCAACCCTAAGAAAAAGGAAGAGGAAACAACAGAAAAATAATGGGGGTGAGCAAAACCATCATGCTCACCATTACCGCACAGTTTATCCCGTATAAAGATCTTTAAAAACATAAACACAATATGCATAGAATCCAAGGTCTAACTCCCTACACGGCCCTATGGCAAACCTCCTATGTACATACAACAACCTTCCAATCACAACACGGCAAGGAAGTAACTGGAAACCTTCCCATCTCCGAATACAACGGGCCTGGGATCCTTTCCAAGAGACAGTAGAGCTGTTTGTCCCCTTCACGAATATCATACGGACCGGGGCGTCAACCTCCCGAATCAACTACGGGCCGGCGACCTCTCAATGTTTATGCATTCCTTAAAGGCACTAACAAACGGGACACTTAGACTAGGGTCAACACCTCAAAACACCTACATTAAGTTAAGATACTAAAATCAACACCTTATCTTGACTTAAAAAGGAAATCACAATTAGAATTAGCCGAACTTGATTCGACTAAGTTGTTCGTGGAGTCTTGTGGACATTAGAACTCTTGGACTTAGATTTGACCAAACCAAAATGGAAGTTCACACAATTTCACATAAAGGGTAATTAAAACAAGTCACAAGAATAACGTGCAAGCCGGTTCTCGAATTTAACACAAAACTACATTTTGAAAATAATTTCTGAGAATTCACAAATTCAAGTTGGTCCATCACCCCAACGAGTTAGGCTCTGAAATTTTATCAATAAATTCACCTCACTGGACTTAATCAAAACACCAAATTTCAGGCCCAAACTCAAAACACACGATTTTATAAAATTCAAACAAATTTACGACAAAAATGAGCATAAATCCAAAGCCTGACGTAATGAACGAGTTAAAACTTGAAAGTTTTAGATAAACAGAACAACATGTGAATAACAACTTATAAAAATTCCAGCTATTAACATGAAACACACGAATTATAAAAATTAAAACAAAATTCTATAGAATTTGAATTTTCAACAAAACCGAACCAAAATGAATTCAAATAAATCTTAACTTTTTACATCACAAAACACATCATAAAATGAGTCCAAACGCCAAAATTCAAAAATTTACAACAATAGGTCGATTTATCATAATTAAACCAAAGTTCTACAGAATAATTTAAACAATTTTTAACCTTAGTAAAAGAATTCCAAAAATCATGAAATTTTTACACAACATGTAAATATACCAGAGAGACAACATATTAAAAATTCAGCCAATTGGGAGTACAAATTGATTTAATATGCAATTTACAATATTCTGTCCAGAAATCAAAACAATTATTAAAAATAGCTACAGTTTGAATTAAATTCTAAAATTTTTACAAGACATATAAATTCATCAGAGGACCTCACTCAAAAAATTTCATATTAATTGGAGTAGCATACATTTTATCACGAAAACGATGGCGGATGCTCGGCGGCGACACACTCGGCTTGCGGCGGAGGGGCAATCGAGGAGGAGCAGCGGGCTCTGTTAGTCCCGTTGTTGCTGCTGTGTGGGTCGCCGGAGGTGGACTGGTCGCGGCGGAGGAGCTTTGCGGGCGGAGCAGGTTCGCGGCGAGGAGGACGGGAACAGGGGCGACGATCGAAGGTGAGAGGAGGGTGAGGGGTGGCGGGGTTTTTTCTTGCGAGAGAGAAGAGATGAGGACGATGAAATTTTTTTGCGTGAGGGAGAGATCGAGCGAGAGAGATGAATGAGAAGGGAGTGTCTGCGCGTTGATCGTGAATGAGGGAGGAATTATGAGAGGTCCGCTTTTAATCAATATGCTACGATTCCCTTACTTCCTCCTCAAGAAACACACACACATGCCTAAGGGAGAAAACCGGGTCGGGTGGGTCGAGCTGGGCGCCGATTCGGCCGGTTCGCTCGGGCAGGCTCTCGGGCTCGATTTGATCGCACGATTAATTAAATAAAGCTGGGTATAATTTATTTATACACACATTATTTTAAAAATAATAATAATAGTAATAATAAAAATACGCATTTAAGCAATTAATGATAATTAGACAAATAATAATATTTAGACATTCAATAATAATAACAATAATATTAATAATAATAACAATAATAATAATCATCAATAATAATAATTATCAAATAATCCACAAATAAATGGGGCATTATAGTCTACCCACCTTAAAGAGAATTCCGTCCTCGGAATTCGAAAAAAAAATAAAATAACTAGAACACAAAAGAGTACAAAGGGGATCAAAAAGCGAAGTTCGGATATCTCCTCCTAATATCGGCATCGATCTCCCAAGTCGCCTCAGACTCATCGTGTCGGCTCCACAACACCTTCACAGAACTCACTGCCCAGTTCCTCAGCTGATGGAACTTCCGGTCCAGTACGGCAACCGACACCTCCTCATAGGCAAGGTCTCGCTCGACCTGCAGCTCGCCGAAGTCCACCACATGGTCGGGGTCATGTACATATCTACGTAGCATCGAGACATGAAACACATCATGCACCCCCGACAAGTCTGGTGGCAAAGCTAACCGATAAGCTAAGTCCCCAACTCGAGCAAGGATCTCAAAGGGCCCGATAAAGCGAGGCCGAAGCTTCCCCTTCTTCCCAAAACGAATCACACCCTTCATGGGCGAGACCTTCAGGAAGACGTGATCACCGACAACATACTCGTGCTCCTGCCTCTTCCGATCGGCATAGACTTTCTGCCTCTCCTGGGCAGACCGGATATTCTTCTGGATCTCCTCAACAGCCTCCGAAGTCCTACGAATGAACTCCGGACCCATGATCTTCCTCTCCTCCCGTACAAAGCCTCATACGGGGCCATCTTGATCGAGGCATGATAACTGTTGTTGTAGGTCAACTCAACCAACGGAAGGGCATTCTCCCAAGTCAGGCTCTGGTCCAAGACCATAACCCTCAATATATCCTCAAAGTATTAGATCGTCCGCTCCGACTGACCATCTGTCTCAGGGTGGAAGGCAGTGCTAAACTCCAAGCTCGTCCCCATGGCTCGGTACAACGTCTTCCAAAACTGACCCGTGATCTTCGGGTCTCGATTGGACACAATCTCCACGGGCACCCCGTGACAAACAATCTCATCAACGAACAACTCGGCATAATCGCTAGCCTTCATAGTCGTCTGGACAGGCAAAAAGTTGGCAGACTTCGTAAGTCGATCCACAACCACCCAAATAGAGTCGTGGCCGGATCTCGATCTTGACAATCCCACCATGAAGTCCATAGTAATACACTCCCACACCTTCGGAACACATAGTCTACCCTCGAAGACCAATGCTCCATCAGATGCGACCGCGAATCCTCCAACTCTACCGGCTTCCATCAACTCCTTCATCCGGCACAGAAAATGGTCGTTCGGCTGCTCGGCGACTATCCTCTCATGAAGAATCGGTCCCACAACCAAAGCGGTCAACATACCACCGGCCGTCGAAGTCAACTCCACTGCCACAAACTGTAGTCGCTCAAACTCCCAAACTAGGACATCTTTCCCAGTGAATAGGCAAGACAGCTGGCCATGACTCTTCCGACTCAAAGCGTCGGCAATCACATTAGCTTCCCAAGATGGTAGCTAATAGTGCAATCGTAGTCCTTGACTAACTCTAGCCATCTCCTTTGGCGCATATTGAGCTCCTTCTGAGTAAAGATATACTTCAAGATCTTATGATCGGTGAAAATCTCACACTTGCCTCCATAGAGGTAGTGCCGCCAAATCTTCAAGGCGTGGACAACTGCAGCTAGCTCAAGATCATGAGTGGGGTAGTTC